TAAAGGGCAACTGAACCCCCAAAACAAACGAATTTGAATAAAAACTACATCAAATGCAAAACTCGAAAAATCACTTTTTACGATCATACACTGTTTTGTACTCGAGAATTTTAGATTTGAAATACCCCCGCCGAACTCTCTGCTTGCCGCCATCTTGCCACTTTTACCGCGGGCTCAGAAAAATAGGGTCGTGACGTCACAACGTCATGGTGACTCCAGTGTTTACAGAATTTGACAGATCAGCTGTGCATTCTTCTTGTTAAATTGAACGAAGAAACATCAGTTTTCGATGATGGATTCAGACACCGACTCAGATGTAACATCATCTGATTCTCCATCGTGTAGCAGTGACGATTTCGAGGAGTTTTGTCAAGATTTAAGCGAGTTTGGTATTCGTCCATACCAGTTTGAGCCGCGAAGAGAAGATAACTTTACTGCAAACGAAGATAGTGACATCGAACTTGATGATGATGAGAGCTCTGAAAATGGAGAGGAAACTCGACTARCAAACTCAGAATGGTATGTGCTAGCTTTTAGGCAGTTAATTTGACTTGTACTTGCTTTGTATGTTAAATATGTAGAGTAATTCTGCCTATCGATATGTGCAAGTGTCCACCGTAAGTGACATGGCTGGGTTACTAATCGACCGATCGGATTGATATAATAACACATATACATCCRATAGATTAACCCTTAWGTTCTTAAATAACCAGAAGATTACATGTTAAGATATTTTTGTGAACTTTAGAGAAAGAGGAGTCGCTTTGTTCTGGACTATACACTCAAAACTTTCAACATAAAAGCTGCCTTATTTTCTTTCCAWGTGTTTATATTATTAGTGTCGAATGTAATAGTTATTTATCCTTCATTTTTAGGTGTCAATGTGGGAACTGCACCATTATGGACAGAGAAAACGAATGTATATGCTGTCAAGAAATTGATGCTATAAAATATACATGCAGAAGCCTTCCTAATGAATCAGAACAATATGCTACACATCCAATCCCACAGTGTATTACTCAACATCCTGGATTCTCATCAGTGTGTCTTAACAAATTTGTATTGAAGACTGCATGGCTCCAATATAAGCAGCAATATACTGATTCCTACGAAGGACCTGAACACAAACAATACAGGCACATTGCCTATCGTCAATTAGCAAGATGGTGCTGGGGCTTCCTTGGAAAGGATGTTAGAGTTGTCTTGCCCTCCTGTKCAGTCATGTGCATACGRGCACACTTCCCCCCTCCTGGACTGGAAGAGGATTTTGAGTTTGAGGGATTTCATTTTTCATGATTATTAACAGATATTTTATTTATTTGAAAAAGAAATATTGCAAGTAATAGAAAACATTGAAAATTAAAGCTTATTTTTGTAACATCCAACCATTATGTACCCTTATTAAAATGATAATATCAACAASATCAACTTTATTTGTTCCTTCTATTATATTGTCAAACTACAAAAGTAGGGCAATTAGTTATTTTCAGTGACAAAGTTGTCTTCAGATACTTTGCAAATGCAATGAGTTTAAATTAAAAGTATGATTAGAATCATATGAATGTTATGTTTTTGTAATTSAYTAGATTTGGCTTGATTTTTCTATACACTCAGTGCATTTACTTGTGACTGTCTTTGTTAGTAAATGTCCAATATATTCATAATAGTTCACAGTGCTGCTGATTTCTCAATCATCAATTCAAGGATGAMAATCTTTATCAATCACTTGCCATTGTTTTTTGGGGGKTTTTGCTTTMAAAACTACAAAAGGGTTAACTAGTTGTCAAAKAGTGTGTATATGTTTAAATCAAGCTTAATWCAATTTGAATTAATAAAGAACAATTTTAGATAATAAATATATGAAATAAATAGAGATAATAAATCATCATTATTACATGATCTTAAATAAGGGTGATAATTTTCAAATGTATAATATGAACTATATCTGGGTTCTCATCAGGGTGAATAAAAACTAGATAAAAGACTATGAATATTTGCTTATAATTGAASTATAAGCAAATTAATGAAAAATATGAAAAACAATGTTTATAGAAAATAATTTAATAWTTYTATCTAATTTCTATCCCTGGTTATTTTAGTATTTGGGGGATCATTTGAAACKAAATAATTTATTTATAATTTATTTACCTATCGAACCTAGAGCGGTGTCTACGAATTAATTCTTGCTTCTCTGGAGCTGGTACACTGGCAATGTTTTTTGGTAGGCCAGCCTCTACCACAAGGCGATCAGCTTTGCCATCTYTGCAATTTTGCAGAACATTTATCTGCATTTCAGGCAGAAATGCATATGTCTTGGCTTCCAAAATGGGCTTCACAACCCATCGCTTGTGGGCTTTAGGGAAGCAACTGCGGTATCTTGCCTCACCATTGTTTGCACCKCCATTCTTCACGACAGCCTGCCTTCTTCCAGTGTTTTCATTGTTGTCAATGGCTGCAAGTTGAGTCCTTGCAACCATGCCTTTRTATGAAAAATGTTCTCTCTTGGGGAGATACTTTAACATCATGGAGTGGTAGACTTCCAATCCTCCTGTATGGCAGAAATCTGTCAGTTTCGGTAAACYAGCCAGTATCTTTGAGTTGGTTACAATTTCTTCCAGGGCCACAAATSCTGAGCTGCCAGGTTTCAACCATGCCGTGTTTTTCCTCTGTTCACGAGTAAGTGGAGGATGGCTACACTTATGGAACAACTGCCCATGTCTCCTTCTCCAT